GCCCGCGGGTGCGGGGCGGACTGCAGAACCGCCGCAAGGGCGCCGGCGCCCGGCGCGGCCGACCTTCCTGCCTGGTGGTGCGCGCTGCACGAGCTGCACGGGGCCGGGGACGGCCCGGCCCGGCCCGGCCCCGGCACCGGCACCGGCACCGACAGCGGCACCGGGCCCGTCCGCCACGGCCGCCGCCCGGTTCGGCCTGGCCCGGCACCGGCACCGACAACCGACAGCGGCCCCGGGCCCGACCGCCACGGCCGCCGCCCGGCTCCGACACTGGCGCTGCCGGAGCCATCAGGTGACGGAGCGCGTCTGTGTTGTCGCGGCCTGCGGCCGCACTGCCCGCGGCCGGTCACTCGACGCCGCCGGCCGGATGTGACGTAGCCGCGTCTTGATTGCGACGAGCCGACGCGTGTCGGATGGGAGGCCGGCTAGCGGCGGGCTGGGGGCCCGGGCCGTGACTGCGCCCCGCGGCCGCGGCCCGGGGACGGAGCCAGACCCGACGGCTTGCGCCCGACAGTAGCGAGCCGGCTGACCCCGGCCAGACCGGGTCGGCGCGCCGCCAGTGGACTGGGAGTGTGGTAACTGAAGCCGGGCGCCGCGCTGCTGACGACAGTGCTCAGCCAGCGCCGGTATCTCGCGGCTGGACGTGCCCGCCGCCGCGGCTTCTGTCGAGATCGGCTCCTGTCGGCCGTTCCGGCGGCGGTGTCCGGTTCCGGCGGGGTGGCTGGGAGCGGTGTTGGTCCGTGGCCCCCGTCAGCGCCTCGGCCTTCGACACAGCGCTAGCCACCTTCTGGCCCGGGCTCTCCGTGGGCCTGCGCGCTCCGGGCGCCGCCAGGCCGACGGCAAACGGGGCTCTTGGGAATAATTCGTCATGCAGCGTTAACGGGTTGGTGTTAAATTTAACCGATTTTCGTGAAGGGATACTAAGGGCCACAGAGCAGTCGGTCATGCCCGTGAACAGCCACTTCGGTCGCTGGGCTTTGCTGCCTTTCCTCCCCCTTCGACAGCAGTAACGGTGACCCTGCACGAGTGCTAACGGGGTTTGCCGGCTGGTGTCGCGGCGGCTCACGAACTGCGCCACCACACCGTCTCCTAAGGTTGGCCGGGGCGTGCTTCGCACGAACGGGCTCCGACGTGCGGCCCGGGAGCGATCAGTATGTCTTCGCCGCGATCAGTTCGCCGTCACCGCGAAAGACTGGCTGGAGGCGGGGAAGTTCATGGAGTTTGTCTCTCTCCATGCAGCAACAGGGCCTCGCCCGATCTTCTCAAGGTTGCGGAAGAGGCGTGAGTCAGCATTGCCCCATGCCGGCCCGCTTCGTTATTGGGTTTGACCGTACCGGCCGCGCTGGCGCTCGGTGTGCCCGCACCGGACGCCGCTATCTGGCCAACCACAGTGGCTGTCTGACTGGCGCGTGCCCTGACCCCAGCCGCGGACCCTCAGTTGGTCTGACCCCAGCCGCGGACCGTCAGTTGGTCTGGCCTCAGTCGTGGACCTCCAGTTGGTTTGACCTCATCCGCAGACAGCCAGCTGGTCTGGCCTCTTTCTTGGACCGCCAGATGACCTGACCTCACCCGCGGACCGCCAGCTGGCCTGGGCTCAGCCGCGGACCGCCTGTTGGCCTGACCCCACCCGCGGACCGCCTGTTAGCCTGACCTCAGCTGCGGACGGCCAGCTGGCCGTGTGTCGGGACGGTCGGGGACGGCGCCGGCCGGGCCTGGCCTCGGGTCGTCTCGGCGCCGGCCGCTCCGGCAGGTGTTTGTCATACGGCGGCCCCAGATGCAGGTGCGATTAGCGCAGGCCGGCGGCGGCCTCTCAGGGCCTCGGCGCGCTGTTTGTACGACCGCTGGCGTGCGTGCGCTGCACTTCCGCGTGCGGCACGCGCCCCAGCCGCTCCGCTCGGTCCGCTAGGCTCTGGCCTGCTCCGGCTCTGGACCGCGGCGCCTGCGGGTGCGTCCGTCTGGGCGGCGTCTGTCGGGCACTGACAGATTTCGTATGCCATTCATGAAGGCTGGTCTGTCTGATTCTGTGCGTCCTTAGTGAAAGCGACCACCGCCGCTCTTGGTTCGGTAAGAAACAAGAATGATGGGCGATGGGACGCTGCCACTGGTTGGGGTAGCGACATTCAATGGCAACCAAACATGGTACACGAGGAACGCTGCACTTGGTTTGCACCTGAAACATGGCCAGACTTTTGAAAAATAAAGCAGAGAGGATACAGCAGTCATGTTGGACGTCCTGACGCTATCCTTAAAGGAAATGTCCCACATTTGAAAATATTGAAAAAGCAAGTATCAGCTATGATGAGGTCGCTTATAGCCAATAGCATACTTATGGCTAGTGGAGTATTTCACATTTGTAGGTGGTTTTGAACTAAGATCGCCACTTTAAGGATCATTTGGCGCAGTTCACAGCATTGCCCTATCTGTACTCGACTTTAAAGCTTTCTCTGGTGTGTGATCGTGACGTCCGCGAACATGTGCAGACTTTTCAAGATCACTTAGACATTCAGGACGCCATGGAAACATCGTGCGAATGCTGCCAACTCACTGGTCATGTGATGCCGGAGGCCGTCAAAAGTGTGATCGTGTCGTTCGTGCCTGATGTGTGGTAGCACGGTTTCTGGTATCGACGTATTTCGGTTGGCCCTCAACCAATGTAATGCATTGAGTGCAGCTTTCCAACACGAACCACGTTTTGTGCTATATGATACAGGAGTTTGAACATTGATACGAATCATGACGAAAATAAGTCTGTGAATCGAATAGCTTGAGAATAGCGTCATTGCCGAGTACCTGAATGCGAGTAAGCAATACAAAATCGCAGAAAGATATACAAAAACACCGCGAGAAAGGGCCAAAACAAGCGCATAGAACCACATTATGTTTCTGCAAACAACGCACCGATTAGCACGACACCCCTCGACGAGCTGAAGTACTCCAAGTGAGTGGGCCCGTCCACTACACCTGCAATTCTGACTGCCAATAAGCAGTCATAATTGCATTTATCACTTCATGACATTTATCGAAACTAATATCAGTATTAAATTCGAAATTGCATACCAAGCCGACACGATTCTTCATATTTTTAACAGCGAGCCACAGTTTTTACAGGTCACCAACATTCGGGAGATTAACACGCGTTCGGGTGGGAGGCTGGATACCCTTTGCTCGAGGGGGGGGGGCAATTTGACCTCCACCCGAGCGCGCGTTAGACATGGAGGAATTGCCAGATATTGATACGATGCAGTGCATATCTAACTTAAAAATTGAGATGCGTGAAAAATCCGTTACATTCGAACGAATTCAAATTAACGGGCATGATGCGTAACACCGTACGTACGCGCAAGCGATTTGAAGAGAAAAAATTTGAAATAAACAGGCATCATCATGCATATCTTAAATAATATCTCATTTATCATAGAAATAAGTGGTAGCTGCTTCTTCGTAATTCCCTGAATGTTAAAATTGAGTAGAATCGGCAGGCAAGTTTGAATTTACTGCTGATACTCGTGTCGGCAAAAGCATGTGACCGAAACATCACACCTTTCTCTTTATTCTCATGTTTATTCCATTGGGAATAATGCATTTAATACTGTCCTATCTATGCGCGTAATGTTCCACGCAAATGCACTTAACGTACGTAATAGACCATTCTAAGCAATAGAGGTTACTTAATCGAAAGGAAAGCGTTATTTCACTGAAAGTCATTGGCAGCGGCGTAGTTTCATAAAATGAATTAGAGGGGCGGGGGAGAGGACTGAACAGCAAAATGTGACTCAATCTAACCACAAAATATGTCAAATGAGTTTCTTCCCAGATTGGGCCCACTTTCTTCCCAAAGTTGGAGGAGCCCAGGGTGGGGGCTAAGCCCTCTCAGGAAACAGGAAACAGGAAACTACACATATAGTCATTGGCAGGAGTGTAGTTCCCTCCTCAGTTCGGGGGCTCAAGCCCCTCCCGACGTTGGAGAAGAAAGTGAGCAAATCTTCACTGCTCGGCCCTCTCCAATGCCTTTTGCAAAACCACGCCCGTGGTCATTGGCAATTGCTTTGGCAGGGGTCGAGTTGGCAATTTTGAAGAATTTTGTAGATGATCATGTTACCGAAGATATGCTTTTTGAAAAATCAGCTAGTTTTGGACCTGGCGTTTTGGGTACAACGATATCTCAGCTGATTTACCCACTATAGTGTGACAAAGTAAGGATTTTGACTTCCGGCAGATCTTTGGCAGTAATTTAAATGCCTTAGCGTGTTCGATTTATGATTTTGGCGCTATGAGTCGTAACCACCGTGCGTGCCACGCTGGATTTGGTTGCGAGCAGAACTTTTTAAAAATGTGTGAATGCAAATGTTTTTTTACGTCTTTCTTTCTAAATAGCGCCATTTCATTCATGTTAATGTTATAAGATACTGAAGGTACAACTGCATCCTCAATTAACTACACACGCGTGTCCATGCTAATGACCTTGGAAAGCTGCGGAATAGAAAAGCTGTTGATCTGTCGCCTTGCGTGTTTGAAAACGGCGCTGCGCGGTCGTGGTTTGAGTTCGGCATTATTTTGTAGGTTTAGTTGAATGCGGAGGGCAAAACCCCCGATCAGTTCTTCGTAATGGTTTATAGCACCGTAATGACGCCATGCTTTTTATTTCAACGATAAAGTTATCGACCGCTGTTTTTGGCGTTCCGTTGCTTTACCTCCACTTCATCCTGGCAAGCCTGCACTGTCAACGCTTAGCTACGTTTTAATGTATGCTGGTTTGTTCGAGGGGCAACTAAAGCCATCCGAAGTGTGTGTGTGGGGGGGGGAAGGGTTGATGCCGATTTTTGGTCATTTTTCTTTCCATTTAACTCCCATGGCATCAATGCTACTTTTTAAGTTTTTTTGGAGGCGGGAGATTTTTTTGGTTTTATTGTGGGGGGGGGGGGGGGGCTCAGCTTTTGCGGGCGTTTTGTGTCTCTTGTGTGTCGATCCCATCCATCTAATTTCGGTTTTCGTGCTTCCAGACGCACTGCTGTGCACGATGGGTCTGAAACAGAGCAAGCGATCATTCCAAGTGACGACAGGTTCACCAAAGAAGGGCGGCGTGGTTGACGCCAAGATTGAGGTTGTTGAGGCAAAGGAAGACGCCCCGAACAATGGCGACGTAACGCCGCAGCACACCAAGCCGGAGGTCAGTACCTTTTCAACGCTGTGAGCGGAAGGGAAGGGAAAATCAATGTCCGCTTCCCGCATATGCAACAAGTGAAGTAGACCAGAGATCCATTTGTAGCGTTTACAACAGAAAAAAGTCGCTGGTGGTCTGGTAATCTAAGGCTATGGATAAGGCTTGCGTACATTACGTACACAAGGCTATAGATGAATCATACTTACATGTGGTCTAGGGCTATCGATAAGTCGTATTGCTTAACTTAAACATTATCCGACACGTTTATCCTCTTCTTGGCCTGCTGTTGCTATCGGGAGGCTCTTTGCAATTGTCTTCTTCGATGTTGTGCATGACACTGAGTTCGATCTCTGGGATGTATTTATATGCTCTGTATGGACCTGCCATGCCGTATGGCGGCTACACTGCATGACTGGACGGATGTAAAAAGGCATGATTATTGATCTCAGTCGTGCTGTTTTCGCTGCAGCAGCCCGGAGCAGACCAGAATGGCGGCGGTGGCGACGCCGAGGTGAACGGCGAAAATGGCAAGCAGGAAGCCAACGAGAAGGGGCAGCCGGAGGAGAAGAAGGTGAAAAAGAAGAGGAGCTTCCGTAGCTTCAGTTTCCTGCGGAGAGAGAAGAAACAGAAGGAGGTGAAGAACCAGAATGCGAAGAATGATGACGTGAGTACCGAATATTTGTCATGTGATTTACACAGTCCTCATTCGTGTTTCGATCACAGCCAGTCCTAAAATTCCTGGTTTCGAATGGGAACGGCCCATCCTGCAAATGTTACGAACTCGCGCGGTACTGAAGGTGCTTCGCCCTCGTCCCGCACCCTGGCGGTGGGCTCTGTACCGAATCTACGTTATTTGGCCGCACGAGAGCGCTGCATGACGTGGTCGAGATGGCGCTGTGGTCGCGCGCGGTCCGGTCTGCGGACGCGCTGCCGGCGGATGCTGCTGCCGCTGGCGCTGTGGACCGCGGCCGAAGCCATCGAGACGCGTCGCTGTACGGCGCAGCGGCGTGTCAGTCGCGGCGGGGTGCGGCGCGGCCGGCCCGGACGCCCGGCGGGTAGACGGTGCCGCCCGAGCTGCATGGACCGCTGAAGGCAGACTGTGGTAGCACGCTGGGTGGAGCGGAGATGCAGCCTGCGCTGGCTGCAGGTGGCGCCTCGGAACAACTGACAGAGGGCGCTCGCTGTCGGCCGGCCGCCGCTGAGACGGCTGAGGCCGGCTCGGCGGGGACGGCAGACACACGGCCGGCGTCGGCTGCACAGCACGGCGGCCCCATATTGACGGCCACTGGTAGGAGGCGCTGCGCTTGTGGAAAGCGTGTGGCCGTCCCGTTCTGTTCGCGCGTGGCACTCGGATGATAGGCTGGGCTGAGTTGATGTAGTTCCTGGCCACTGCGACGCTGCTGTCGCGGAGCGCAGCGCCGTGAGCGCAGCCCCAGCGCAGCGTCTGAACGGGCTGCTGCGCTTGCGGCGGCACAAAGCTCGATCATGTTGGTTTGGGTCGTCCACTGAGTTATCCGTTACGACTGCATATGCACACGCCTGGCTGACGCTGGGATGCCGCTCCACCCGAGCCCGCCAAAGCCGTGCGATGGAGCTGCCCGGATGGGGGTGAGAGGGCGCGGTATTCGCTTATCAGGCTCTTTGCACGGCCGTGGTAAGCCGGCGTGGTAGCCGGCCGTGAGGCGGCGGCGGCGGCTTAGGCTAGGCCCATTACGTCCGACCGCCCCCGTCGGACCTACCACCGCCTCTGTGCATCTCCGTCAATGGGAAGCTTGTGTTGGGATCGCTTCTCGGCGTCGAAGACCGGGTCGTAAATGCTCAGGGAAGCGTGGGAGTACTTTGTCCATTAGTCATCTCGGTTCAGCGAGACAGTCAGGCTATATTGGGTCATAAAAACCGCGTCATTCCACGTGACAGACCAGCTTCCGTCTAGTCCCTCTCAAGCAGTGGCTTTTATTATCCTCTGCTGGCAGTTTGAGACTTGAACTTTACGTCTGGGATTTTAGGGCTCCAACTTTATTAGTTATCGAATATTGCCTTTATTGTAAGTGATTCGTAGAGTGCAAATTCAGAACACTTCATTTATTATTTTTTGTTAAAGGGATTGCTCCACATTTATGTGTGGTTTTGAACTGAAATAGCTATCTTGAAGACCTTTCGGTGCTGTTCATAATCCTGCACGTCTTAAGACATAATCCCTCCTCATTTCTCAGCTATATGCCCGCGAAAATAGGCAGAGGTATATCGGTGAGAGTATTCCAAAGTCCCCTTGCCACTCATGGCGTGAAAATAGCGTCATTTAAATGCTGCCATTCCATAAGTCATGCGGCGATCAAGGCCGATACAAATATAATTGTCGAGGCGTTCGTGTTTGGCGTTGGTGAGCACGATTTCCAGATATATCGGCATTTAGTTGGCTCTAAGTCGATGTCGTGTTGGGTACGATAACGTAATCAAATCACCTCGCATTGGGAAGCATATTTGCTTAACGGAGAATCGTTCTGTCTAGAGCAGGCTTTTCCACTTAAAATGTATACCAATGGTTATAAGTGAGCTTGTTTCATTTGATCTCACTCATGCTTCAATGTCTTCAAATGTGGAACATTCCCTCTATGCTTCAGGCTCCCCAAGCTGTCCCACCACGCGGCGTTGAAACAAAACTGTAGAGTGAACGTGTTAATTCTCATTCCCCGTAGCTATTCTGCCTTCGTCCGCATACCAGCTGTTGCAAACCGCCTCGTATTTTTTGCGGGTATTTATTTTTGTGAGCATTTGAAACCGCAACAGAAGTGCGCATATACGTACAGTAATATATTTCTCGCTTTGTCAACGTTATCAACGTTGTCGACTTGCCTTGTCTGCGCGTTATGGCTGGCAGTCAGCCGTGTTGAATCGCTGTCTACATGTGGTAAGCACCCTGAAACGGTGCTTGGTAACATGATAGCTAGTTTTTTTGCCACTTTCAACGTTTATGGCTTCCAGCAGATGGCGTGATTTTACACGTTTCAGTATCATTGTCTGCTTTGGTGTAACGGTACAATCTTTGTGTTTCAACAGACATCATGGTGAAATGAACCTTTAATGGTTTCTGATTCAAAGGAAAAAAATCTGAAGATCATGCCGATAAATGTGAACCCTTCAGTCCTTTTCACGAACAAGCAACTAGGGTGAGGCCCCAGATGGAGGTCCATGCACTGCATTTGAAATCCAGGTATTTGGCCGCCGGATAGCGAAAATGAGAGTGAACGGATACATGCACCGATCGTTCAGTGCCCCACATGTACCGGCACGCTGGCTTAGGAGAACGGGATGTTCCGCCGGCCGCCAGCCGCCGCCGCGCCGGCGGCGAGTCAGTCTGGACCGCCGGCACCCCTCTTCGGGCGAAGGGCGGCGGCGGTGGCGCCGGTGCCCTGTCTGAGATGTGCCTCCCCCGGGGCGGCGGGGCGTGACGCTGCCCGGCTGTTGGCGGCGCCGGACAGGGGAACACCACACTGGCGCAGCAGCGAGCGCCATACGCCCCCCACCCTCCCTCCGAGGCGGCGGGGCGTGACGCTGCCCGGTCGACGGCGACGCCGGACAGTGGAATACCGCACTGATGCAGCAGCGGGTGCCGCATCAGTATAGTGTACTGCTGTCCGGCTGACGGCTACGCCGGACAGTGGAATACCGCACTGATGCAGCGGCGGGTGCCGCATCAGTGTAGTGTTCTGCTGTCCGGCTGACGGCGACGCCGGACAGTGGAATACCGCACTGATGCAGCAGCGGGTGCCGCATCAGTATAATGTTCTGCTGTCCGGCTGACGGCGGCGCCGGACAGTGGAATGCGGCACTGACACGGCAGTGGGCGCCGCATCAGTGTAGTGTTCTGCTGTCCGGCCGACGGCGGCGCCGGACAGTGGAATATCGCACTGACGCGGCAGGAGGCGCGGCTCGCTCAGCCGGGCGCGGTTCAGCGTGGACCGCAGCTGAGCCGTCGCCTGCCTGGTATGTGCTCTCGGATTGCGCCGGCGCGACTCGGTCTGGCTGCCGGGCCTGACCACACGTGGCGCGGTGCCCGTCGCACACGTGGCGCCGGCGGCCGGCGCGCCTCCTGGCACGCGATGACTGATATGCTCCGCAGCCGGCCTTGGCTGGCTGGCTGCCGGCCGGCCGCCGGCCCGCCCGCCCGCCCGCCCGCCCGCTCCGCCCCTCCGGCCGCGGCCGGTTTCGTGGACGTCTGCCCCGAACACCTGGATCGGCGGCACCGGTAGACGACGAGAGTTTTGTAAGCGGCCGGTCGGCGGCGACGCCCCGCACATCTCGCGGCGCGCAGCTGACTCCGATTAAGACCCTGAACTATCCCGTTCTCCGCGCCGTACATTGGGTGTAGACCTAGGCTGCTATTATTACTCTGGCCTGAATGGGACGTGGTGCCTGCCTGCTGTACCATACCATGCCATGTCGAGATAAGTTCACTCGAGGCACCATCTACCAAGAGTTATGAATCAACAACTTCTCACCCAAAGAGATGTATTTACACGTGATTAGTACAATGATAGACCAGACGATCTTGCTGGCACATTGTCATGCATGTTTCTGCAACAATATCCTCTCGCCTGGGGCTCCACACCAGTTTGGTTGTGGAAAGCTAGCTTTCAGGCTACAATGCTTAACATTGATTTCGCTCCTGACGTTGTTCTTCTTTCTACACACTTCGTTAAAAAACTGGCCTCAAAGTTAATAATTCGTGGTGCGGAAGTGGTGCGGCCTGAGCCGGGGGGCCCAGGGGGGGGGGGGAGGGGACGACTCCAACCACGCAGGCGTACGCTGAAATACACCACTTATGCCGTCTTGACTGTTGTGGGTCCGCCGACGCCCATCACTCAGTGCCGTGCACGCATTTGTAGCTGTCGGTAATGACGAGCTGTACCCATTTGCCGTCATGTAGAAAGCGTATGAGGACCCATGACGAGCACTCAGTATTCGGCAACTGAGGATGACCGCATGGTTCATTGTGCAGTAGAACATGCGTGCCAACCGTCAGCCAGAAGTGAACCGAGTTGGACATGGGCGCAAGCCTCGAACGGGGAGCATGTGCTGCGCTGTCTGTTGTCGCGTAAGTTATCCAATGGCATGTGACGTCCGCTGATCGCTGCCTCCGCGCCAACCGACCGGCCGCGAGGAGGCGGCGGCGGCGGCGAGGGAGGGGGGGGGCGGGCGGCGGCGCGTTGACGGGCGGGGGGGGCCCCGGCATAAAACGAGCCACTGCGGTCCGGCCATGATGCAACCGCGGCAGTGGCCGGCCGCCGACCGCGTCGGCATGCGGTCCCAACACTTGTTTACAGGCTGGGACCGGTGGCGGCGCCGTCGCCGGAGGAGCCGCTCGGGGGCCGGGGGTGGCACGCGCCGCTCTGAACGTCGGCCGTCTCCCAGGTGGGGCCGGGTGGCGGCGCCGTCGCCGGAGGCGTGCTCGGGGGCCGGGGGTGGCACCCGCCGCCCTGAACGCCGGCCGTCTCCCAGGTGGGGCCGGTGGCGGCGCCGTCGCCTGAGGCGTGCTCGGAGGCCGGGGGTGGCACGCGCCGCCCTGAACGCCGGCCGTCTCCCAGGTGGGGCCGGTGGCGGCGCCGTCGCCGGAGGAGCGCTCGGGGCCCGGGGGTGGCACGCGCCGCTCTGAACGCCGGTCGT